CATGTCAAGCCGTTCCCTTGGTTGTTCCTCTGCAGACAGACTTGGCATGTGGCACGGGGCAGAACATGAGATCGTGCCGTCGTCAGTGTGTTGTACAGTTGCTTGCCCTTATTAATGTCAGCCTGGATCAGCTCTTTCCTCAGCACTGCCTCTACCCCCTGTGCAGTTGCCAGTCTCTTGCATCTGTTTTCTGGTGGGAATTAGGATCTCCTGCAAGCTAGGTAAGATGATGGGATACGCTAGAGAACAAATATTCTTTCTCTCCTGCAGCATCTAATTCAAATATCGGTTTGACATTCCATCCCATTATTTCCTCATCCTGTAACAGAGTCCCTTCAGTGATTCCGAGAGGGGAAAATTAAATGTGGATAACTGAAGAACCAAAAGATGTTCAGAAGAAGCTACAGCACTGACATAATTACTTTTTTTTATTTTTATTATAACTAAAGGAGAGATAATTGTGCAGGAAACCTCCAAATTGATTTTTTTTCATGGATTTTTATGCCATCTGGATAGACTAGAGACACTGAGATAAAAGTCTTAAGACTGCCAGGATGTGATACCCCGTGTGTTATCTTTGTGCGTTTGCCTGTTATTATCTTTTAATTTATCCTGAAAGTGAACTATGTAAACAACATACCATCTTTTCTTGTGCATTAGTTACTAGTAGAGAGAGCAATGCTTTGTGAAGCATTTTTTGTTTGGTTGGTTGTTTTTTTTCTGACTCGTTCCTATCTCATGTGAGGATTTGAAAGCAAGCTTTCGAGTCCAACTAAGTGCCACTTTTCACCAGAACTACTGCTTTTCTTGGTAAACCTGAAGTTTGAGGAGCATATATACTCTGTAGTAGACTGTGTGGTAGATGACACATCTGCAATTCTTATTTATGGTCTTTTCTGAGGTGAGCACTTCTGATGACCTGTTCTTTCCCTTTCTCCCTTCTCTCAGATAACTCTGTCAGTCTTTGCTATTGCTGTTCTTACTTCAGTTATAAAATTTATTAAATACTGTTTACTTTTGGCATCTCAGTTTCATAGGAGAAGAAAAGCTGTAAATGCACACATCTGTTCGATGAAGAGCTGGTAAAGCTGCAAAAGTGCATATGATAGAGTTAAGGAAATTTTTCTTAAGTTTCATGGAGTGAAATGTACTATTGATACCTCCAGCTGTGTGCTCTTGGTACTTTATTTCACTCTTGAAAAAGCATGAGTGAGATTTATTTCTAACTACATTATTGAATTTTTAAATGAAATTTGAAATAGCTTTGATTTGGGATTTTTTGGGGGTAGGAACAGAGTCTTTTTAAACAGCTAGAACAGTTCATGGTAGGTGACGTTTTATCTGTCCATGGGGTGTGATATGGATCAGAACAAGGAGAACTCTGTAACTTCATTTTGATTTTTTTTTTCTTTTTTTTTCCCCCTGTCGTAATGACGTACCTATTTTTTTGGTGAGTGAGGAATTCGTCTGTACTCCATTTGACTTCCATGCCTGCCTCTCAGAGACCCTGTTCTGTGGATTTGGGAATGCACCTTCAATTGAGGGAGCTCTTGTTTCCTGTGGTATTCCTTGCCCTTCCACACTTTTAGACCTTGGAAAAACTGGGCAGGTTGCTATTAATTCACTTGTTGCTGTAAGTGTCCATGCTGCGAACCTCTGAGAGGACACTCTCCAGTTTCAGAGAATTTATAAGGAAGGGCAAAAGCTGTGGGATGAGGGCATGTAGTATCGTGGCTCTGTGGAAGCTGCAGAGGAAGAGTGTCCTACAGCCTGGCCAGATGCTGTAGTACCTTGAAGAAATGATGGTGCTGATTTCTCTGGCTTGCTGCATTCCTTACTGTGAGAGGTTTTAGCACCTTCCAGAACAATATGAAAGTAAGTTGTCTATCTTAAAAGTTGTTAGTGTGTGACAGCGGCACTTCCAACACTTATTTATCACGTTGACAAGAGAGTTTCACTTACTGCCTTTAAAGTCACGTGTGACAAATAGTGTACACCAGTGGGCTGGTAACGTGTTTTGTCAAAATCGTCAATTCTGCGCTACTTTAACCCCCTCCTCCAGGTCCTCCCATTAAAATGAAGTCCAGCGTAACTGCTGTTTCATGTAGACACTCCCCTTACAGCTTAGTTGTTATATATTAAACTTCCAGAGACAGATTTTGTAACAGGTGCTGTCTGAATTCTTTTAGGCCTACACAGGATGGCACTTCTTTTGTAAGTAGTCAATTCCTGTTAATTTTATTGCCTGTGTTTAGCTAATTTATCCATCAGCGTAGGAACGAAAATCCTTAAACTTAGGGAAATCATCCTAATTTTTAAAAGTAGATGAAACCTGAGCTACGTGATTGTTGGAGTAGTTAAACATCTAAGCAGATACTTCTTCAAAGTCAGGACTGTGTGATTTGTGTTTTGATGAAGTAATTACTGTTGTACATTGGTGTGGTATCTAATGAGCAATTAGTTATAGCTTCCTTACTGCTTCAATTAATCAAATTCACGCTAGCGTATCTTAAGAGTAAATTTAATAAAGTGATCAATTCTAATGCCTGAGCAATTTCAGTAAACAAATTGTTCAACCTACTTACTTTTCTTAGTTTGGCTTTAAGCTTATTGAACTAGAGAGGCTGTTCTTGCTGCTCCTCAAGGCTGAATCGTGATTTAGTCTTGGTTTCCTCCCTCCAGCCCTATGGGGTGAAAATACTGTTGAAAGTATGTGTATTTTTAATTACTTGGTTACACGCACTGAAACACAGTTACCTCATTTAGCCCTGGCTTCTTCGAGGGAAAATCCTGAGCCTTACAGCCAGTACATCAGAATAGGACACATGTATGAGATATTTATTTCTTTCTAAGATTCACCTTAAGGATGCTGCTTTATATGAATGAGCTGCAAGTTTGCTTTATTTAAGGCGAGGGGACTCCATTTTTATTTTTATGGTTTTTTAAATGCATCAAAGTGATTGGTTTACTTCCCTGGAGATGTTTGAAGACAAGAGGAGGACTTTCTTGCTACCTTTGAGCAGCACAGCTTTTTGCTGGGGCAAGCAACATGGTCGTCCCTGAAGAGACTTGAACAAAGTGTTTCCTGACACTCATTTTTGTAACAGAAGTGGAGTAGCACTTGTCACAGGAGTTGCTACACTTCATTTCTGGGATTAAATAATTCCAGCTGCATGAGCAGGGAGAACCTGTGGGGCTGTGGGGAGGACAGCAGCTGTGCACAGGCTGCAAAAACAGTGCGTATGGCCCCAAGGAACACTGGGGCTCATAGTAGCTGTCCCAGTTGTACTAGGACTGGAGTTACACCTGTGAATGCAGGATAAGTATCTGTCTTACTCAAAAAATAAACCCCTCCAAAAAAAAGCCAACCTTTGTGCATTTTTTTATAGAGCCAGTTTAGAATACTCCCATTCATGTTGTCTTTCGAGAAGTTATACTGAGATAAACTTGATTGGTTTTGGCATCATACCTGTCAGAACTTGTGTGCGTTTCTCTTCCAGCCGACCATTAATGCTCTGCCAAACTGATTGTTTTATTCACACAGAAAAGCACTTTTTTCTGTAGCCTCATTCTTAAATTTGTGAGGAGAAGCCATCTGGGTGGATACCGAGGACACATCTACAGCCAGTTCTCTTTGTGATGCTGTTGTGTGACATGTAGGGTTGTAATAGATGTAACTTGTTTATATAGAATTTCTAAAATATGCGTGTGCAACTAAGAAATTAATGCTTTAGACACAAAAGCTGATGCAGGCTTGCCCTTAGGAGGGGAAGGTGTTCATTTGTAGCCTCTCCTCAACATGCCTTGTGCTATAATGAGAAAGTGCCTGACCTTATAAGCTTGAAGAATGACAGTATCTTATGTGCCTTAGACAAACTGTACAGGTATTCTGTATTCCATTATGCTCCTGCTGCAAGATTCACTGGTAGAGCACATCCCAAATATCAAAACTATTAGTGTCATTTAATACAGCAGAAGCACGTAGATATTTCTTCCTCACAGATATAGTGCTTGTAATGACTTGAGATTGATTAATCTCTCAAGAGCTATGTTTAGTCTCTCAAGCATTGCTTGTCTGCAGCAGCAGATGAACATGGAATCCTAAATAAGCCGAAAATATTCCAGGCTATGACACATTTCAGATGGCCGGGGAAAGCAGTCCAAGATTATTATTTAATAAAGTCTGGCCTCTGGGAATGATGAAGCAGCAATGAGAATTGAGGCAGCTAACCTTTGCCTTCCAACCCCTTGCCCTTCCTCCTCCAGCCTGATGTCCCTAGTTTTTCTGCTAATATGCAAATCCTCAACATTCGCCATTGAATAGCTCAGTTACTGACGTGGTAGTATCTTTTTCTGAAAGTTTAACTGATGTAATTGAAAACTGTGTGACAGCAGTTCCATCAGACATCCGGCCCTTGTCTAACTCCAGTCTGTTTAATCTTACCAGTTTTGTGACAGGTTGAAGACAAAAACTGGTGTTCTGAATTACAAATTTTGAGATTGCCGAAGTACAGAAACACTCGAGTTGCCACTGTGTTATCTTGCCCTCACCCAGAGAAACTGTTTTGTTTTTGTCTTCCAACAGTAAGGCTAAGGGTTTTGCTTTTGTTTTGCTTTCAAATCTTAACCTGTTTTAAAGACATTCTTTTCAGAGTTGAATGCGTGATTTTGAAGTGTTGTGAAAGCTGCTCAGTATTAGCTATCATAGCAACCTAAGCTGCTGCTGTTTTCTGTTCTGTTTCCCTTTTCCTCTCTACAGATTTCAGGAAACCTTACTGTGCCTTGGATTACAGGTTGTTCCAGAAAAAGAGCAGTAAGTATATTTCCATTTAAGTATCTAATGCAGCAAGTGAAAGAATGAAAAGTGCATCTAAATGTGTTTTTGAAAACGTCAGCTCTGTTTATGTGATATGGGATTTTTGGTTTTGTTTCTTCCCCTTTATACTTTGACTGACACAGACATTTTCTGCAGATATAGTGCTTCAGTTACCATAAAGTTGATGTGTATCTTTAAAAGCAGGTCAAGGTCATAATCCTGAGTCAAGTGTATGAATTGTGCTGTTAGGTGAAATGTAACTGAATTGATAAGGACTAAGAATTTAGAGCTCAGAACACATTTGTTGTAATGCAAGTGAAATTGGTTGTTAATTGAGACACAACTGAGTGCTTAAGAGGGTAACTCCCTCTTCAGCTACTCTGGCCATGCACAGAATTAGGCCATGTTATCTGTAGGAACTTTCTCAAATCTGATTTTTATCCACATGTGTCATGTTACATTAGACAGAATCAGCCAGGTTGCTGTCCTCAATTCGCAAACGACTCCAAAGCATAACACAAGGTATGAAACAGCTCGTCAGGAAAATACTGCCATCCAACTCTTTTGTTGGATTACTGTCCAGCATCTCAGCTCAAAGGTAGCCTGTTAGCTTCTGTTTGAAAAGCACGCCAGTTCTGCTTGCTTACTGGGAAAATACACCCTGAACCTGCAGGCTGGATGGTACAAGTAAGCTTTCAAGAGGCTGTTACATATTAGTCCATCTAGCTCAGAAGCAATTACTGGGGATATGGCTATCGTGACAACCAAGCTGCTCCCTCTCAAACCATTGAGCTGTCGGAGTCATGTGTGCTGCTTTGGCAATGATGTTGAGGTAATGGAAGAACTTTTCCTTCCCTTCTCCCTGCTGTACCCAGTATTTTTTTCTTTTTATTATTATTTTCAGTTCTTCTGTTTAGTCTTCAAAAGGTGTGAGTTTGGTAGTGTTTCCTTTATAAATAGGAATCTAAGGACTGTCACATTGATTGTGTTTTCTCTCAGACTTTTGCTAGGTCTCAACTGTAGCATGCTTCTAGTTTCTGCAGATTTTAATAGTATCACTTGTTTCTGTTTATGTAGAGAGCACTTTATAAGAGTGTTTCCCAGAGGAACCAGTACTTTTATATGAATTCTGTTGTTGCCCATTCCATCTCTTTTTTTTTTCTTTTTTTTTTTTTTTCTAGCTCTTGAGTAGGCTTTTTCAAATCTAGCCCTTTTCTGGAAGGCACTTTCCCTCTGTCACTTAATGACCTTTTAAAACATCACAGAGCTGGTGAGTGTCCTAAAGTACAGTTTCACTTTGAGCTGATTTCACAGCACATCACTGTTGAAAGGGGGAGGCTTTTCCCCCCTCTCTCTCCTGATGCACTGTCACCCCATCCATAGCACTGGTGGTAATATCTAATTGCAAGGTAATTCAGGTCAGGTGTCTGACCTACCAGGTACATATTCTTCTGCTGAGATTGTCTTTCTGATGTCTTTAGTCAGGTAAGTGCTAGAGCCAGCTCAAAGTAGGCAGCAGGAGCATGTGGCTGGGAGCAACTAAGAGTGGGGAATGGTGGTGTCTCCTACTTTGCAGCACTGGATAGGTTGTTGAGTCGTGGTGGTCACACCAGGTATCTGACACAAGTTGTAGAAGAAATTTCTGCAATAAGTTTAAAACCTTCAAGGATGTGGAAGTCCCTATTTATTAAGAGTGGTTATTAGGGAATTCTTTTTCCTTAGACCTTTCCTCTCTTTTTAAATTGATAAAATGCCTAAAAACAGTCCAGTTTGATGCATCTGTTTCCAGATTTGTCGATGCACTTTCTTCAATTTCAATGCGTAATCAGCCCTCTTAAAGAAGCAAGTTTAGGAGTAGGCACTCTAAAACTGCTGCATATGCACAGGTGTAAGACAACAAAAAGAGAGAAAAAAGTCCTACTTCCTAGGAAACTTCAGTTTCAAATGTGAAATTCTTTTGAAGAAAGATTGTGAAGGAACAGAAATAGAATGGATAGAGTTGTAGAGCTGCGATTGTGGCAATTACTGCCATTCAAACAGTAAAAAGGCTAATCTGTATTTTGTTCAAAATGGAGAAGATCGTCTTTTAGCTGCTCTGAATTTTTAATCTTTTGCCTTGATGTTTTGTTTTCCTTGCCCTGTCCTTCAGCTGCATCAAGAGAGAAATAAAAACTGTGCAGTTCTGCAGAAACTCTTTCTAGTCTGCTCAGCTATGCTGTAAGATGACGTAATCCTGACTGTTAATGAATATTAGTCTAGAAATATCCCCCTTAGTTATTCATGAGAATGTCTTTGGAAATTAGAGTTCTGTATTCTGTCATGGTGCACGTGCAATGCATTGGCCTTTACAAATGTGTTGATTTTTGGTTTTTCACAGGGTAGTGGAAGGATAACCAGGATTTAAAAATAGCAAAGAAGATACTGGTTAAAGAGAATTAAGAGGGGGAAAATATATTAACTTTTGTCCTTGCTTTTAAGTCTTAAGTGTACTAACTGTGACTAAGTCATGTGTCATCTGATGCCCCAGCAGAAGGGTTGGTGTTTGTGGTAGACATAGCTTGGTATGGTGACTGTGAAAAACATCTGTCACGTAGGTGTTGACTCGAGGTAAGCTGTGCCTGGCTTAGTTGTAAAGTTTTGTTCTGGGGGGAGAGCAGGGTTTTGGTTTTTCTTTTTTGAATTTCTAATTAGAAGTAGTTCTAGTGGTCTTAATATCAACTCTGAATCACAAAGTCTTTAAGATAGCAGATTAAGGTCTTAGAATTATTTCTGCCCATCACCCTTCAGCAGCAGCCGTAGTAAATCACATGGCACATAGCTTGTGTATTTTGGGTAGGATTTTAAACAAAATTTAAGTTGTCTTTCATGGTAATATCTGGGCTAGTTCATGCAAGGTTTCAAGGGAACACTGTCCTCAATGAAGGAAGTCTCAGGGGAGCTGGTCTTGTATTTTCCCACTACCTGGAGCAACATTGCGTTGTAGTGATGGTGTTGATACCTTCCTGAATAGCTTACTTCTGCACTTTGATGGAACCTCTGCTGTGGGCAGGTGAGCTGAATCTGCACAGAGCTTCAGCTCGGGGTCTCTGGCCTCTCAGCCTGGCGTGTGTATTTTGGGGGAAGATTCCTGAAATAAGCGGAGGACTCCTGTGCTGAGTTTTGATTTTTAAATTGCTCTTTCAACATTGCCTATTTCAATAATGTTCTGGAGATAGTGGCATTAAAGTGTGCTCCTCAGAGTCCTGCCTGTCACAGAAAGAGGACAGTAGACGTACTTTGAATGAGGTAAAGGAGCTGGTCTAACCCCAGGTCAGCATGAGATCTCCCTCTGGTTGTGCTGGCACATCTGTGGGCATGGAGAAAACAGCTGCATTGTGTGGAGTAGACTAGGTGGGGGAGATACATCAGTGTAACTGCTAAAGAAAATAACTCGTTGGACTGTGCTCTAAAAGTCTCGTGAAAATGGCCAGCTGCCACAGTAAGCCTACGTGTGCTGGAGAAAAAAGAAATTAGAGTGGCTTTTAAAGTAAAATGAGAACCCAGAGGGATTAAAGCGACCTAAAGTCAAAGCTCAGCTCTGTCATACCTTTTGTTTTAAAACTATACCAATATTAACTTGTGAAGTTCTCTTCACCTGTTCACATTCCTCTTCTCTCCTAGAAGGGCAGAGAGAAAAAAACTATTTTAGTTAAGTTGATTAGAGTATGTTTGAGTAAATCAGTCTTCAGCAAGAGAGACAGACAAGCCAACCTGAGGATCTCCACAGGACTGAATTGTGAATGCTGCCCTTGTTCATACCTTCTATGTCATTTGGATCACCAGTTACTATTTTTCCTTCTGTGAAATATTTCACCACATATCTCGAGGTATTTCACTTTGTTAATATTTGCATTAGATGATAATAACATTCATAGCATGTCATGACCTTCTTACTATGAGCAGCAGCTCTTTGCTGCTCCTGACAGCGATCCTTCAGGTTATGCAAAGGGGAGGCAAGTCTTATCATTGTTTCAGACAAAATACATCTTTTTTATTATATGGCATGCTGCACCTAAGTTCTACAAATCACCTGGGTTTGTTGTATGCTGTGATCCTGCAGGCTGGAAATGTGTTGTATCTGGCCAGGAATTGGAAAAGTGGCTTTTCTAGTCAAATGTGAGGAAGATATTCATAAATTAAATAAAAATCACAATAATTACTGTCTAAAAATCAGTTGACTTTGAGGCTGAATGTTCACTATTTAACAGACTAGTTCAAAATCTCAAGAAGAAGGGAGAAGAGCAAGTTGTCAGCTTGTGTAGATTGGTCGTTGGTTTTGGAAGTTATGGAGTGAGATGGCTGGAGTTTAGAGTGTAATTTTTTAGCTAGACTATTCTATTGCACTTATACCTCTTTTTTCATTTTTCCCTTTTTTTATTTCCTTCTTCTTATCTGTGTGTGATTTAGAAAAACATATTAATAGAATATATGTAATTTTGGCTCGGCGTTGAAGCAGTTAGAGCTCTTTTCAAGCTGTGCTACCATGAAATATTTATCAGTCCTGCTTCCATCAGAGCAAACTTCAAGCTTATGCAGCCAGTGGGAAAAGATGCAAAAAGTCTCTCTTCCAGAAGTCTTAACAGTTGTTGCACTAATAGTATGTTAGCAGTAATAGTTTAAGGGCGCCTTCAGATGCTCTTTGGCTTGCAGTCCATTTCCAAACACCTTTTTGCCTGAAGGCTGTGCAGCTTGCTGCTGTATTTTCTGCTCTGAGTGATGCTGGCAGTAGCAATTCAATCCTAGCCATTTGCTTTGCTTAGAGTCATAGAATCACAGAATGGTTTGGGTTGGAAGGGACCTCAAAGATCATCTAGTTCCAACCCCCCAGCCATGGGCAAGGAAACCCTCCACTACACCAGGTTGCCCAAAGCCTCATCCAGCCTGGCCTGGAACACTTCCAGGGATGGGGCAGCCACAGCTTCTCTGGGCAACCTGTTCCAGTGCCTCACCACCCTCTG